ATGGTGTATTCCTGCAAGCCCCTGATCCCAATGGTGTATTCCTGCAAGCCCCTGATCCCAATGGTGTATTCCTGTAAGCCCCTGATCTCAATGGTGTATTCCTGCAAGCCTGTGATCTATCAGGGATAAATAGTTTGGTGTGTGGGCCCTAGATCTGCTTCTCTCTGAGGGAGGCCTTAGTGTCCAGGCTCACTGATTGTGCATCCCTGTTCCCCCAGGCAACCTGGAGCGCCTCTCAGTGCTGACATGATGACCGTGTGCAGGCCGGCCGAGGGCAGCCACAGCCACACCGAAAACCTGAGCTACAAATTGGCAGACAAGTAAGAGTGTTTTCCCCTGAGAGCAAAGCAGTTGGCCCAGATACTTTGTCTCCTTCCCTCCCCTGCCACCTTCCCCTCCTCAGTCATCCCACTTCCTTCTCGTTTCCAGGTGGTTCTCATGAGTTTCCTATAAACCATCTGGTGCCCTGCACTCACTCAAGGTTTCAGACCAAAGTGGTCAGAGAAGGTCTGACTAGTGCCTGGTGCGGGGAGAGTATGGTCCCCCGGAGACTTGCGCCCTGTCCCATTACTGTTCCAGTAAGATTGATTTTTCTAACTAGCACAGTTAGCTTCCCCGTCGCATGTCAGTGTAGTTGTTTCCTCCTCCCCACGTGGAGCCTTTTCTCTGATACTCTCCCATTCCGCAAAGCAGTTGTCAATCACTGAGCTGTTCCCATCTCTGCTCCCAGGTCAGCGCCCCCCCCCCCGCCCCCCCAGGCATAGAATCCTGAAAATAGGAGTACAGCAAACCACATAAAGAAGGCCCTCTGTCCTTCCGTATGCTTAGAACTGCTTCAGCATCCTTTTTCTTGCCTGAGCTTTGTGAATCCAGGGTGGGCTTCCAGCAAGCCATCCCTTGTTCTTCAGTTTTCAGACAGGGCTTCCGTGACTATGAAATCATTCCAGGTGTTTGGGCTCTTGGGCAATAACTATTACAGTTATAACAGCACTAGTTACCAGTTACTGATATCAAGACTTGTAACATATGCTGTACTTTGCGCACATTACATTTATTAGCTCATCCATTCATTCATTGAATAAATATTTATTGACTATTTACTATGCATTGGGCATGGTGAACAAGATAAATTTGGCCTCGGCACTCAGAAAATCCCAGTCTAAGGAAGGGAGTGCAGGTTTTTATTTTAAGATGAAAAACATGGAGTTAGGACTCAAGTCCCAAGTCCTTCTGACTCCAAAGCCCATGTATTTGTCTCCTGGGCAATATTACCTGACAATATATAGGATATTCATGATTATAAATACTGGATCATCAGTTGTCACTAAGCATACACTAACCTGGATTATTTTGTTTTTATGTGTCTGTCCTCTCACATTTTGCCTCTGGCATAGTGACTATAGTTATAGCAAGAACTATAACTCCTGGGCAGCGCCTGTGGCTCAAGGGGGTAGGGCACCGGCCCCATATGTTGGAAGTGGTGTGCTCAAACCCAGCTCCGGCAAAAACCGCAAAGAAATAAAAATATATTAGATAGTGTCTTATTGGCTCGGCGCCTGCAGCTCAAGTGGCTAAGGCACCAGCCACATACACCTAAGGTGGCGGGTTCAAATCCAGCCTGGGCCCGCCAACAACAGTGACGGCTGCAACCAAAAAATAGCCAGGCGTTGTAGCAGGCGCCTGTGGTCCCAGCTACTTGGGAGGCTGGGGCAGGAGACTCGCTTGAGCCCAGGATTTGGAGGTTGCTGTGAGCTGTGATGCCACAGCACTCTACCCAGGGGGACAGCTTGAGGCTCTGTCTCAAAAAAAAGAACTATAACTCCTGCCATTTGGACCCACCATAAAATAATAACAAACTGATATGAGTCTGACTAAAGTCTAAATTCATGCTAATGTTCCCAGTAGTGATGAAATAATTAAAAATTTTTGTCTCCGGGTGGCACCTGTGGCTCAAAGGAGTAGGGTGTCGGCCCCATATGCCAGAGGAGGTAGGTTCAAACCCAGCCCTGGCCAAAAACTGCAACAACAAAAAAAAAATTGTCCCTTCTGTAAGCACTCTGTTACAAATTTTAATTGCTTATTTAAATAAGAATTCCATTTTGATAGCTGTATTTAACATAGGAAAATGTGTTTGCAAAAAATGCCTTTTCATAAGTTTCTAATCCATGCTGTGCAACCAAGAACAGCAGCATAATTTGTGTGTTAACATCTCAATTGAGGAAGACATCTTTTCATCTTTCTTGGGAATCGAAAGCTAAATAGTAACAGGATGACTGAAATTACTAATTATTCATCCTTCACTGTGAACCTTGACTGTAGTTTCATAATTCCTATATAGTCAGAACTATGTAATCAGAAAGTGTGAGCCATGAGGTTGGTTCATCCTGTGTTTGCTAATTGTGGCAAATCTGAAGTCACTGCGCTCATTACCTTTGCTGGTGTAAGAATGTGGTTTTTTTGTTTTTGTTTTTTTGAGACAGAGTCTCACTATGTCATCTTTGGTAGAGTGCTGTGACATCACAGCTCACAGCAACGTCAAGCTCTTGGGCTTAAGTGATTCTCTTGCCTCTGCCTTCCAAGTAGCTGTGACTATGGGTGCCTGCCACAACTCCCAGCTATTTTTTTGTTGTAGTTGTCATTGTTGTTTAGCAGGCCCAGGCTGGGTTTGAACCCACCAGCCCCGGTGTATGTGGCTGGCACCCTAACCTCTAAGCTACAGGCACTGAGCCTGGTGTAAGAATGTTTTACACTTCAAAATACAGATACTCTCATTGTTTTTTTTTTTTTTTTTTTTTTTTTGAGACAGAGCCTCAAGCTATCACCTTGGGTAGAGTGCTGTGACATCACAGCTCATAGCAACCTCCAACTCCTGGGCTCAAGTGATTCTCCTGCCTCCGCCTCTCAAGTAGCTGGGACTACAGGTGCCCACCACAACGCCTGGCTATTTTTTTTTTTTTTTTTGGTTGCAGCCATCATTGTTGTTTGGCAGGCCCAGGCTGGATTCGAACCTGCCAGCTCAGGTGTATGTGGCTGGCACCTTACCTGCTTGAGCCATAGGCACCGAGTTGATACTCTCATTCTTGTTAGACTATTTTAAAATGTTTTTTATTATTATTATTATTTTTTTTTTTTGAGACAAGAGTCTCTCTCTGTCACCCTCAGCAGAGTGCTGTGTCATCAAAGCTCACAGCAACTTCAAACTCTCAGGCACAATCAATCCCCTTGCTTCAGCCTCCCGAATAAGGTGGGACTACAGGTGCCCACCACAATGCCTGGCTATATTTTAGAGATGGGAACTCAGTCTGGCTCAGGCTGGTCTCAAACTCCTGAGCTCAGGAAATCCACCCACCTTGGCCTCCCAGAGTACTGGGCGTAAGCTACCAGACCTGGCTTAAAAATATTGTTCTTTCAAAATAATCTTTTAGGCTCGGCACCCATAGCACAGTGGTTATGGTGCCAGCCACATACACCCAGGCTGGCGGGTTCAAACCTGGCCCAGGCCAGCTAAACAATAATGACAACTGCAACAATAACAGCAACAAAATAGCTGGGCGTTGTGGCAGGTGCCTGTAGTCCCAGCTACTTGGGAGGCTGAGGGAAGAGAATCACTTAAGCTGAAGAGTTTGAGGTTGCTGTGAGCTGTGATGCCATGGCACTCTACTGAGTGTGACATAGTGAAACTCTGTCTCAAAAAAATAATAATAAGGCTTGTGCCTGTGGCTCAAGTGGCTAAGGTGCCAGCCACATACACATAAGCTGGTGGATTTGAATCCAGCCCGGGCCCATCAAACAACAATGACGGCTGCCACCAAAAAATAGCCAGGTATTGTGGCAGGCCCCTGCAGTCCCAGCTACTTGGGAGGTAGAGGCAGGAGAATCACTTGAGCCCAGGAAGTTGCTGTGAGCTGTGATGCCACAGCATTCTACCCAGGGCAACAGCTTGAGGCTCTGTCTCAAAATAATAATAATAATAATAATCTTTTATATCTCCGAGGCACTAATTAATCTTCTAAATCACATAGGGGTATATATATATATCCTCACATATATGTTCTAGGGCAGAACGTTATGGAATCATGGAAATACACTTTTGCTCCACCTAGTGCAGTAGCCATTAGCCACCTGGAGCCTCTGGTTCTTTTGTTTCTTTTTTTTATTTTTGAGACAGATTCTTACTATGTTGCCCTCAGTAGAGTGCTATGACATCACAGCTCACAGCAACCTCAAACTCTTGGGCTTAAGTGATTCTCTTGCCTTAGCCTCCCAGTAGTTGGGACTACAGGTGCCTGCCACAACGCCTGGCTATTTTTTTGTTGTAGTTGTCATTGTTGTGTAGCAAGCTCGGGCAGGGTTTGAACCTCCCCACCATGGTGTATGTGGCTAACACCCTAACCACTAAGCTATGGGTGCCAAGCCAGTTCTTTTGTTTTTTTGAGACAGAATCTTACTCTGTTACCCAGGGTAGAGTGCCATGGCATTATAGCTCACAGCAACCTCAAACTCTTGGGCTCAAGTGATCTTCTTTCCTCAGCCTCCCATGTGTAGCTGGGACTACAGGCACCTGCCACAACACCTGGCTATTTTTTAGAGACGGGGGTCTTGCTGTGGCTCAGGCTGGCCTTGAACCTGTGAGCTCAGGCAGTCCTACCACCTGGGCCTCCCAAGTGCTAGGAGTACAGGTGTGAGCCCCACGCCTGGCCTAAACTTTGAGTTATTGACATGAGGCTGATTCAACTAAGGAACTGGAGGTTTAACTTAATTGGATTTAAGTTTAGATAGCCCCACGTGGCTGGTGGCTGCTGTTTGGGGAGTGTGTGAAATCTGAATCTGCCTGTTCATTCACACGTTCCTTCATGCAGCAGGTATTCATTGACCCTACTCTGCCGGTGTTGTTCCAGGTGCAAGAGAAGCAGCAGTAGCTGCAGCAGGCCAGGATAACAGAACAGTCCCTGTCTTTGTGGAGAGTGCCCCCTCCAGAGGAGGTTCAGTTCAGACGCACCCAACCCTTGTGGCTTTACACGCTCAAATCAGGACAATTTATCAAGCTCAGAATTAGTGAAAACTTCATGACTTGTAGCATTGTTTTAGTTTTCAAATAGTTAAATAGTTGCAAAGAGCCTCCTGTGAATAACAAAAGCAAGGGAAGCAGCCTATATAATCTTGAAATTACTATTTTCCTTTTGTGTGTGTGTGTGTCTTTTTTCTGGAGACTGTCTCATTCTGTTGCCCAGGCTAGAGTGCCATGGCATCAGCCTAGCTCACAGTAGCCTCAAACTCCTAGGTTCAAGCCATTGTCCTGCCTCAGCCTCTTGAGTAGCTTAGACTACAGGTACCTGCCACAATGCCTAGGTAATTTTTCTATTTTTAGTAGAGATGGTGTCTTGCTGTTGTTCATGCTGGTCTTGAACTCTTGAGCTTAAATAATCCTCCTACCTTGGTCTCCCAGAATGCTAGAATTGTAGGCATGAGCCACCATGCTGGCCCCTTAAACTTTCTTTTTTAAGTTTTTGTTTATTATTATTTTTTATTAAATCATAACTTTGTTTCTTTCTTTCTTTCTTTCTTTTTTTTTTTTT